ATTAAAGCGTGTAAAAACTACTCACATCAATAATCTCCTTACGTAGTGCCTCGATATGATGCATAGCCGATTTCGCAGTCCAATTCTTTGGCAGATGCAAATTTGGCAGATCATGCGGAAGTGTCACATGGTTTGGTATATGGAAAAAATAATTGTGAAAATATTCCTAAAATTAACAACATGCCAATTTTTATTTTTTTTTATGTCAAAAAAAGCTCAAAATTCAAAATAATTACTATTTGTTGCTATTAGAGCTGCATAAACTCGATGTTACGGTGGTGCGATTTTTCTCGATTTTACTGAGAGCCGCTAGCTATTATATCACAGCTCTGTTCCTAAGCAGATCAAGTTTTAAACACAAATATGCTTATCATTTTGGTGGAAAGGAGGCTGTACTGATGATTCCCGTCCCTACAATTGGCGGATCCAAGGCGCGCGGGGGGATGAGCAGGGATTAGTGACGAAGAGTGGAGGTGAAGAAATCGAAAAAAGCTGAAGAACAAGGAAAAGGGAAGGTGAAAAAAAGCTCCGAAGGCACGGATTAGGGCAAGATAGAGGAGAAGGACAAGGAAGCTAATGAGTCCAAACGGAATTTTTCTTTTGTCTGAAATTTTTTTGATTGAATTTCGCCTCTTACCTCAGTTTTGTTGATCACCGAATTCAATACGTTATTTTCACCAATCATTTGAATGAAACTCGTCTTTAGCTGCTCCTTCATTTCCTCATCAACATCATCCAGCGGCAATGCCGGCATCAATTCCTTTTCAACAATTTTCGCCCAACATTCAATGATTTCGTTATACACTGCAAAATTAACCCGAAAAAAAATCAATTAAGAAATCAAAAATCTATGAATGATTTCAAAAGAACTGAAAGAAATCAAGAAGCGGAAGCTGAATTTAAATTTTCTGGATCGCACGTAGGCAGGGGACATAACCATAAGATGGTTTCAACTTCCTAGCTTCCGTGGTTCCCGAAGTAATAATTTTTCCCGCCAAAACTTTTGCGGAGCCGTACTTGTTACCCGCGGGTATGGGGAAGCTGAATTTTAAATTTGCAGGGTCACATGTAGGTGGGGAACATTTCCTTAAATTTTCAGCTTCCTGGCTTTTGTGGTTCCTGAGTTGAAAATTGCGGACAAGTTGCTACGGACAAACACACACACACACACACACACACACGCACATGCACACACACACACACACGTACACACACACACAGAGAAAATCCCGTAACAATATGCGTTTTGTACTGCTGTTACAAGCATAAAATGCATAAAAACAAGAATTTTATTCCTTGAAAATAACAGACTTAAAGCACTAACATGTATCCGTAAAACCCTTCGGTAGAAAGCCAAAATGTTGCGCTTCGTACTCCTTTTTTCGAAAATCCGAATCGGCCTTCATCGCGTGTCCCCTGCAATTACCACGGATAATTAATGTTCACTTAAACCAGTCGTGGTTTTAACGATTTTGACCACTGGTCACTTTTTTGGATCATAGAATGGTCAGAAAAAAGTCATCTTAAATCGTGAAATATTATTTTCGCCAGGAGATCAAAGATCAATTTCTGGGCAAAAATATAGCCAAGAAAAAATTACGACTTGAAAACGACGCCGTTTTAATCAGCTGGCAACAAAAATCTCTACTTAAGCGCCGAAGCTCAAAACGCCTCCCACCCTCACCATCTGTCATCGTCCCGTTTGAGGAAAATGCATTCTCGCGCAGGGTAAGTTTCTAAGTCGTAATGACAGAATTAGCGCATTTTTAGCCATAGGCAGATCCAGCCCGTTCTCCCTCCCGCTTCACGTGTGCTTGAGTCATTCATGCACAAAATTTAGAAGAAAGCACGCAAATTTTTCGACAGAAAAGCAATTTTGGCAATCAGACAAGTTAGGAAGTTGAAAATTCACTGGGATATTCCAATGTCTTTGTTTGAGCCAAAAAAAAAAATTCCAAATAGCCACGTACTGAGGAATGAAAGACTTATGAATAAGGAGGTGTTAAAGTTGTGATTTAGCAATGCTTGACACAGTGCTGGCCAAAAGCCCGAATCTAAAGCTAAAACTAAAGAAAACTAAGGCCTAAAGTAACTCTATGTAGCAGTATGTTAAAACTCTATTCCTAGTTCTTGCACAGTTCCAGAATGGGAGGGGACATCCCTCCCCGCCCCTCCTAATCCCTCCCCCATGGGTCCGTACTGGATATACCTATGGTTTTAGCAAAACGGCACCGGCCCACACCTCTGCCTTTCCCACATTGCTAACCCCTGATCGAACACCAACCAACCAGTTCAAACCGTCCGCAATATTCCCCCCC